AGCTGATTTTAAAATAGTTGCTCTTCTGTACCATTTTCTTTTAAAGGAAGAAAGTCACTCTTTCAAGACATCAGGTCTACCTGGTCTCTCTGTGAACACTTTAATGCATCACAAGATTTAGACTATCTTTTGCATGGTCAACTAAAGCTGGGGTGGCTAGGGGAAAACACCAAGGTGGGCTTCCTAAAGTCACTGTTTCATGACATCAGGTCTATCTGGTCTCTCTGTGAACACTTTAATGCATTGCAAGAATATTGTATTTAGACTATCTTTTGCATGGTCAACTAAAGCTGGGGTGGCTAGGGGAAAACACCAAGGTGGGCTTCCTTCATCTCTTTCACCAAAGAAAAGTATCAGAACTTTAACTGAAGCAAGCACTGACACTGAATACGCAAAGCACAAGGCTATCCTACTCCTTCATGCTGCAAGAATCTGATTGTTTTGTAGAAACTGCTACAAGCGCAGAGACTGCAAAGCACAAGGCTATCCTACTCTTTCATGCTGCAAGAATCTGTTTTGTAGAAACTGCTACAAGCGCAGAGACACACTTTAGAATATTCATAGAATAGAATCTTAGAATCATTTAGGCTGGAAAAGACCCTTCAGATCATTGATTCCAACTGTCAACCTAACACTGCCAAGTCCACCACTAAACCATGTCCCTAAGCACCACATCTACATGTCTTAAATACCTCCAGGGATGGTGACTCCACCACTTCCCTGGGCAGCCTGTTCCAGTGCCTGACAACCCTTTCAGGGAAGAAATTTTTCCTAATATCCAATGTAAACCTCTCCTGGCACAACTTGAGGCCATTTCCTCTTGTCCTATCACTAGTTACTTGGAAGAAGAGATGAAAACCCACATGGCTACAACCTCCTTTCAGGTAGTTGTAGGGAACAACAAGGTCTCCCCTCAGCCTCCTTTTCTCCAGGCTAAACAACCCCAGTTCCCTCAGCCACTCCTCATCAGACTTGTTCTCCAGACCCCTCACCAACTTCGTTGCCCTTCTCTGGACATGCTCCAGCACCTCAACATCCTTCTTGTAGTGAGGTGCCCAAAACTGAACACAGGATTCAAGATGCAGCCTCACCAATGCCAAGTACAGGGAGACAATCACTTCCCTACTCCTGCTGGCCACACTATTCCACAGCTACTCAAAGATGGAAAGTGAAAGTTCAAAATCAAGCAGAGTAAAAAAATTTAACTCTAGACCTCACTCATTCCTCTCACATGAACAGTTCTATCTCCTTCCTGTAAATGCTCAAGATTTCCAGTGCACATCAGGAAAAAAAAAACCCTGTACTCAACATTTTAGTAGAGCTTTAATGCCAGATGATGTGTCAGTGTTCAGGATTAAGTGACTGCATAATATCCGGTGACAGAAATTTACAGGCCTTCAGGAATTTCATGACTGAGAAAGAATGACGTCTAGGATTAATGGCAATTTGGTCTGAATTCTGAGGATCTAAATGTTAAGGCCAAGCATTTTACTGCTGCTTTAGACAGGCAGCCTTTTTTGGCGGGGGAACTAGCCCCGAAAGTGTTCTGCAAGGTAGCAATCCACATCACGTCATGTTCATCTGGAGTCATCAATTTAACAGCACAGAATGTCTAACAGAATAAACTTCTTCTAAAAAGGTAAAAAAGTTTAAACATAAAAGGATGCAATGTTTCTAAACTCAGTATCAGATAATACCATTATCCATTGCTTGAGCTCTCTAAGCCTTTTTTGTTGCAAGTCTGTAGCTTGTGCTTGATTCAAACTGCTCCAGACAAGAGCTTATTAAAACGATTTATCCGTTAATGGAACTATGAACATCACATAATACACAAGTCTTTAGAGCAAGGTACCTAAAACAAGATAAGTAGGATTAAAACGTGCCTTTTCATGCTATAAAAGCAATTTGTTCCCCAGATTTATTTGCCAACTTGACTTGAAAGATTATTATACACATGGAACAAAAGGGCAAGGAAAAAAACAAGTGTTCAGACAGTGACATTGTAAAACTGTATTCCTATTTCAGGGATGAGAAATAATTTATAAGATAATACAACATAAAGTAGTTTATTCATGCCAGAGGACAGATCCAGTTGTAACTAATCAGTGGAAAGGCTTGACGCAGTAGCTGCAGAGATAATTCAAACAGTAAGTATATTAAAAAAACAACCAGGAAAGTGCTTCCTATGAAAACAACAACAGTAATTTCCATTTATAATTGCCTTCTATGACGATCACAAGTATCTTTAGTCTGTTGTAAAGGACAGCAATTAGCGCTTCTCAGTGGTTAAAACCTATGAACAAGATTGTGATTTAAAAAGAAAAAATCAAAGTCATAAATAAAAGCACTGAGTAGGAAATTTGTCAGATAAAAATTTAAACAGAAGCAGCCTAACCTGAAGTGCCCACACCCAAGCTAGAAGCAGTATCTCTTCTCAGGACTGGTCTGCACACAAACCAGGACTCATTTCACCAAACCTATAAACTTTAAAGCCAAGTCAAAGGCTATGCGGGCATTTCAGTAGGCTCACATGGCAACTGACAGCAATTGAAGTTATCATGATTTAGCAGAGCTGAAATAATATTTGCATACTCTCAGCCCATGGCAAGTATGAAGGATGGTAAGAGTCTGCATAGAAAGAGGCTTAACATAAGCCAAGTTACATTGCCTTTCCCATGAAGGGACATCACATGGTGACTTATCTAACACATGGTAATGTGCCAACCACTGAGACTTGAAGGTTCAGTCTATCAAGAGCTGGTGAACTTCATGCAGTTTTTATTCTTTCTGTTTAAGCTAAAACTAAATATGTCAGTCAAACAAAAAAAATTGTCCACATAGGGCTTAGCAAAACTGAATTAGCTTCAAATCAGTCTTAACCTAAAGAATCGTTATAGCTAAATCAGCTTTTAACATGATCAAAGCAAATTGTATTAAGAATTCCTCTTTGGCTGGAAAAGATGGCTATGCCAGCCAGCTCAAATAGGCCCCATATCTAGTCAAACCTGTCCAAAGTCCTTTTTACTGCACAGCCACTGCACATGAGTAGGGTCTGTACACATGACCACCTCACCAGTTATGGCACCCCTCTTAGATGAAAAACCCTCTATCAGATTTCCTGCATGACATTGCTGAGGGGTGGTGGACAAGGACACATAGCACAAGATCAGCAGAAATGTGGAAGGAAGAATGCATTTAAGGAAGAAAGAGAAGCAGCACCAAGACAGAGGAAGCAAAGCGATGGCTTACAAGCCGTCCTAACAGGCACCGAGCTACAAGTTGGCTACTCCTGATAGAAGTTTCTGCTCCAAAACAGTTCACATGCAAAGACAAAAAGCACAGGCAGGAGCTACATCCTAAAGCCAGCTGCTGAATGGTTGTAGGCCCTTAGAGGCTCTGTGAATGAGGGGCTTGACATCAGGCATTTTGTTCAATGCTAACACCACAGGATGTTAGATTTTAGAGGGAAAAAAAGTGAGACAATAAGCCCATACAACAGAGTTTTGATTGTAATTTCTGCTAGCATAATCACTGGTGTGCAGTTCAGGCCATGCCTGGTAAGAATAAATCAATACTACTTTTCTTTGGTGTTTTGTGAATAAATCACTCTATAAAATACCCTGACCTTGCATCATCAATTTCTGTTCTATGGGAAGTGCTGTCCTTAGGCAATGACAAAAGTGTGCAAGGTTGTAGAACATCAAGGGAGAAAGAAAGAACCTGAATAACAATGGACAAAACTCAACAACCTGTCCTGACTTGATTAACTTGAAATAAGATAGCCCCAACCCATAACGAATAATGTTTTTTCTAGCATTTTGGGATGTTCAGATCTGTGTCTTCACTTTAGGTTCAGAACATAAAAGTTTTCAAGGGTGCAAATTAGCAAACTATTTCTTCCCATAATAAGAGACTTTGGCATATGAATCATGTAACAGATAGTTCTTAGCATCTCAGTGGGTCAGGCACTGCAGACATACACAAAGTTTGCAATATACAGAGATGTAGCAAAATGCAAACACTCTGCTAGCTCTAGTCGAACTCTGAAGAATTTACCATAGTAAAAAGCAGGTGCAACACACTGCATATAATAAAGTGCCACCCCAGCAATATGTCTGGGTCTAACTAAGAGATAGTTCCACAAAAAAAGTCACTTCAGTGCTCAGTAGCTGTCAGAGAGCCAACTGAGTGGGGATAAGAGTTATTAGGAAAGAATAAATCTGTGGTTCCCCAAACTCTGCATTTGTGGTTCCCACACGTCATCTAAGAAGGATGTTGAAATGCAAAAGGTGCAGAGAACCACCACAAGGACAATCTATAGACATGAAACAATGTCAGCATGGGTAACATTTAAAATTTTGAGGATTCTTCAGACTGTAGGGGCCATACAGGACCTGTACTATAGTGACAATAGGACATGATGCTCACCGGTTGTTCTAATACAAGAACTAGAATGTATCAAATACTGCTGGTAAGACCAGGTTCAAATCAAACAAAAGCAGGTGCTGCTTCAGAGGCAAGGCTGGGTGGTAAAACTGCTGAGTAAAGAATGCTGTAGATTGTTAACAGTTTACTGGAATTCAGAAATCAACTGGACAAATTCATGGAAGAGAAGTCCATCAATGGCTGCCAAATAAATAAAACCAAAAACATGCAAATACAAAACCAAAAAAACACTACTCTGATTTAGGAGTCTCCAAATCTTAAAACTGCTTAGGAAAATAGGGAGAACATCACTATCTATTTAAGACCCATTAAATTCTTCACTAGGTTTTTCCCCAACTAAAGGCCGTTGTCAATGTAAGATAGCAACCTAGAAAGAACTTGAGCTGCATTGCATCCATTCTTGTGTAAGCATCTTTCTCTGTAGCTAATAAACCCCTTCTAACCATGAACATAATTTTCAATGCAAGTGCCCATACATTAATTTCATAATGCTTCACTCACTTCCCCTCTCCCTTGCCCCCCCCCTCTCTCTTTTCAGATTAAAGAAAATCCAGATGGGGTGCAGGTGCTGCAAAATGATACAAAGGTATAACAGAACAAAAGTCGCTTACACTGAATAAAAGAAATGCATTAAAACATGTGTCTGTGGTCCCCTACACCTGTTGCTTAAATTAAGCCTATTTACAAGTTTTCCCAAAGTTTATGCACTATCATGACTTTTAAAGATACTGTAGGCATACTGATTTCCTGTGAATGTCCTTGTGATTTACTGTAATTGAGGTCCATTTCTGAGATTCCTATCCCACAGAAAAATGGTGTGGCATTGAAAACTCATCCTTAGCAAAGCTTTTTCTTATTTAGGTAGCATGACCTTCCTTCAGTTCAGTAGAACAAGGAGCACAGAGTTTGTCAGATCCTCCCTCTCTCCTAAGCAATGAAAATGAACCACAGAACATTGCCTCCATCATAACTTTTAAATGTAGTTAGTTGTGGGAACAATTCCCCACACTAGAAGTCTCCCTGGAGAGGAGGTTTTAGGTTAGGTTAACTAGGTTTTAGAAAGACAACACTTCATCCCCAATTGATGGTTACTCCTTCCCTTGGCCACATCTCTAGAACAGGTAAGGAAGTGGGAAAGAAAACTGATACTATGAAAGAAAGAGGGGAGATAAAGAAAAGAGAGAGCTTCTGAAAGAAATAAGTGAGGGAAAAGTTAGGAGTGAGATAAGAAAGTAAGAAAGGAAAAAAGGAGGGGACAAATAAAGGGACAAAAAGATAAGACTCAAAAGGAAGAACACCAGGGGGAAAAAAAAAAGGGAGATATTTTAGCAACTGCATGAGGACATATTAATTAACAATCTATGGGGGCTAATCTACCCCCCAGAGAAAATAAAAAATAAAGCTGGAAACGTGCAACAACCAGCACAAGGTTCTCTGACATCCTTCTCATGGTGAATTCACCATTCCAGGGTTTAGTTAAGATCAGTCCCAGGAGACAGCAACCTACAGCACAGTTCAGCATTTCCAGTCAGTTTAGCTCATTCTCAGGACCCCAGGTAAAGCTTAGTGACACCAGTTCCTCAAGATCACCAGCTTAAAAATTAAGCTTAATCCTTTTTTATAATTATATTTACTAACAGCATAATTAACATTTCCTCTACAAATTTTTCTTACTCCAGCTATATTTTTGATCCAGAAGAAGTACAATCACCTGGATGCATTCATGAAATAAACAGCTACAAATACAATGAGCAAAGCAGCAAAAAATCCAAATTTAAAGAGAACAGTGAAATTCAAGAACACAAAAATGAACTCCAGAAGGATGACCTAAAGAGAACAGAAAATAAAACCCAGGGAAATAGCACAAAAGAAACTCTCGGGAACCACAGGGGCAATGATTTTCAAGAGGACGGCCTTATAAAGGGTGTTGGAAATCTTGATGTTGCAGTCAACGGTGGCAACTCCTGCACTGCACTGCACCCCATGCTCAATCCCAGCACAAACCCAGGAAAAGAAGCCAGTGAATTGGGACCCTCCAGCCAGTCAGGAGAGTCTCCTTCAGCCAGCAACAGAGACTTTCACACAAAATTAAATAGGTCTGGCCAAGAACTTGACCTAGAGGTAGGCAGTCAAAGGAAGGCAGCCTGCAATGAGCCAAACAGTATTCAAGATGGGAACTCCTGGTCTGCAGATGATAGCATCTTTCTCAAAGGAAGTACAATACTGGAGACACAAAACAATGCCATACAAGTTCTGGGTATTGATTATCCACAAAATGGCAATCAAACCAGGAACTATGTTGAAAAAGATAGCTTTTCAGTCAACTGTGCACATTCAGACCAAAACCCTGGGCATTCAACAATACAGGACAAGGACCTCTGTGTAACTCCACCTTCACCTATGAAGGAGAGCAGTATTGAACTTTTTAAAACTGACTCTGCAAGTTTGAGCATGGGCATTACCAAAGTAGCACAGGCACCCACACACCTCAACCACAAAGACATCAATGGAGAAATTGAGGAGGAAGATCCAGAAGTAGCAGCAGCTCTGGCTGCACTGGAAGCTGCAACTGCAGGGGAAGACCTGGAAGATGATGATGAGTACTAGATCAAGGTTTCTTTCTAATACACTGGGTAAGATCCAGATTTATTTCTGGATCTCTATGAGCACATGTACAGCACATGTGGACAGCTGTTATGAACAGCATATATAAAAGAGTTGGGACTAAACCTATGTCCCTTCAGCTGTTTTATACAGCCTTTTAATTTCTACTGCCTGAGGTACAAAAGTGCTCCCTTGGCTAATGGTAATGCTGACACTCTTCTCTATGGGGCCAAACAGGAGGGCAAAACATTATTTCTTCCACACAGGATATTCTGCTGTATACCCACCTCACCTGGACTCTTGCAAACATTTCCTTTGGTTTTGACCCTCAAGAGGGTCAGCACACACTGCATCTTCCAGGTTCAGAAAACTTCCATTATTTCAAACAGAACTATAGAAGCCATGGAGTTAGAAACCACAGATTTTCATACAGTTAACACAAAAAAAAAAGGTGACCCAAATTCTACAATCTAGAGAAGAATGAAATAGAGAAGGTAGCTTGGCTTGCACTTCACTGCAGTTAACGGTTCCATTCCAGCTTAAGCCTAAATCTGTGCATGTGCAGCTGGCATTAGGACGATAACCTCACCTCTTCCCTTACACTCCCTTGGACTTTGATACCCCAAGAGGCCTGCTTCAGTTCATTAAAACAGCAGAAGCCTAGGCAAATGCGAGAGAGTGGGTAGCTTTCTCTTGGTCTAAGGAGCTGAAGTAGCTCGTGTAAGAATTGCACACACACTATCAGAGGTGCCAGAGAGGGATCAAAACTCAGTCCTACCAGTTTAAGATCAAAACTCAGTCCTACCAGTTTAAGATCAAAACTCAGTCCTACCAGTTTAAGATAGATTAAAACTGTTGTGAAACTACAGTCTGAGACCTCTCAACTCCGCGAAGTTTTCCAGGCACACATCACTTGCCCTAACAATACAGTTTGCAAACAGGTTGTGTCAAACTTCCCCAGCAAGATGTGTTTTGCTTATATACAAACAGCGAGAGCCAGTGTGGACCCATCCCTGGCTCTACTACAGTCCTTAAAATTACAGCAGGAAAGGGATTGAGCATCCAAGTTGAATTAAGCGTAAGATCTGAAAATATCAGAACTGCATTCCTGGAGTGTTTACCCTTTCTCTCACCTTCAGACTAGTATGTTAACCTTTCTTGCGGGAAGCAAAGGAGACAGAGACCAATTTGGTGCTGCCATTTCATCAAAAGTGGGATCTTAATGGTTGAAATAGAAAGTGCTTGACATTTTATACTGAAATTTTGTGGTTTCCGAGTCTGTTATAAACTCTTAATAAATTTTTTTAATCATGAAAAATCTGGTGGCTTTTGTGCTTTATGCATTTTCTGATTATATAACAGTTGCATAAAAGAAGTACAATAAGACACAGCCTTCATTAGACACATGAAAACCATCAACTATGTATTTGCCAACACTATGTGCTGAATCCTAGTCTAACCATTAACACACATAAGGATCAGAATATTGGGAGGTGGGTTTTAAGTAATGTGTAGGTATTTAAATTATTTCTGCTTAAATGCAGATTCCCTCTTTTCTCCATGTATTGCAAGCCCAAATCAAGATTTCAATTTCTCAAAACATAAATGATATCCCTCAGCGCAATTAAAAAGAACCCTAAAGTCTCACCTTTAAGAGAACTATATTCAGATACAGATCAAGGTCACCATATTGTATCTGTAAAATAAAAAGGCTTTATATGTTTTTAAAATATTGTAGCACTGTTAATTTCTGTACCACTTTCCTACTTTAATAAGCTCGTCTAAGCATTTTCATAAGTGCATATGACTATTATCAGAGCTGGTGTTTCTATGAAAGATTTTGCATCTCAGAGCTCATGTTTTACTCATTCTCCAAAGCTAGTAACACAACTTAAAGGGAAATTGTAATCTTTCCATACAAAAGTGAAGAGATTTTGAGTATGAGTAAGGTTAGCACCTTCTCATTTAGCAGTGGGTCGCCACTAGATTATGAAAAAACGGTCAGGGTACTGCAGAGACTCCAGATATGACAACAGGACTGGAAGACAGCCCAGTCCACTCAGGGAAGTTAATTATTTCCTAGAGAAAACATTATGGCAGAAGAGCAACAGAAGAACCCGAAATTTGACACTGCAGAATTCTTCAGTTCAGCAAACAAAACCCTAACAAGAAAGCGGGAACCTGGAAATAGATAAATTCCATACAGATTATTTTTTTCTTTTAAAGAACAAAAGAAATCAGCTGGGCAAGTGTTGCTATGCAGACTTCCCATTAAAAATTAAAATCCAGAAATAGAAAGTCTATTTTCTAAAAGAGACTTCAGATTTGATTGTTTTCAAGTAATCTAAAAATACCATTTATCATCATGAAACAAGAAACACTGACTTAAAAATAAAAAAATTAATCTTGGCCTTACATTGTATTTGTAGTTTCAATTTCCTAAATGTGATTTAATTTTCCAAAAGATTAATTCTTGCTGATGTATCACATTTTGCTAAATGAGAACAGAATATCTCAACACTTAAGGCCTGTGTATATGGTATTTCATACATTTGTTCAAATGCCTATATTGCACATTAATTACATTGAAACGATGAAGCTTAATAGATGATTTATCTTGAATTGTGGTATCTCTCCTTGCATGTAGATGGAAATTGGAATCCATCTACACTGTGCAAGAGCACCACTTCAAAATTAAATGTATTAGAACTTCTTTAGCTTGCTGAACACATGAGAAAGTAAATTTATGAAAGTCATTCACCATCAAAAACTATTTTTAAAGAAAGTTTTATCAACAGCATTGTTTCAGACACTGTATTCTTCTCTGTTTTAGAACACCTCTATCATACAATGTTTACGTTGTTAGAAGTAATTGTTAGAAGCAGATTAAGACTTTTTCATTGGTCTTTCCAACAGAAGCTGCCCTTGGCAAAGACAATTTTTCTTATAATCATGAAACCAAAACAAACTCAGTTCCTTCCCTGGCCCGGCTTTCTGAATTTCATGCATTCACATACTCAGCTAGAGACCTCAGTCTCAGGACTCCTTTCTCCATTAACAATTTCACTTGGCATCTCAGGGAGGTTTGTTTTTAATCTTTCCTTCACTTTGAATCTTTACAATCATTTTCTAAACTTCAGATCAGGCAATGCTTGAATTGAATTAGTTGCATAAACAGAAGACAGGAAACACTGCCTGCACCTACAAATGATACTGCTACTGACTGACCACTTTCACAAACTGTCCCACCTGCTTTGGGACTTTTTCCATTTCAAACAATGAGCTGTTGAAATTTTGGAAGCAGCTAAATATGCATCCTGGCTTCTATAAGAAATTGAAATAGATTACAGCAATTTTATGCCTTAACATAAGCAGTCACAACTTTTAAAAATTTTTATTGTTAAATACAGTTTTAGCTTTGTTAATATGGTTTAATCCAACTTCACAACAGAAATTTATTAAACAGGCTTACTCCCCTACTCCCTACTTCTTCCTCCCTTAGTCAGAGAAAAGCAGTATTCCCTTGTACAGCTTAATTCAGGATTCTCTCGGTGGAGCAGGAAAGACAATAGCCATCTTGATTTTGTTTTTAATCCAATTGTTGAGGTACAGATCCCAAGCAGTCATTTCACAACCATCATGAACAAAACTATGGAGGTTGCACCATTCCCCACTCTGAATCTTGATGGAAATTATTATAGATTAAACAGGACTTAACAGGTTTTTGCTGTACTTCATAATTCAATTACTGTACATTACCAACTGAAAAACATTTTATTCTGTAGTGAAACAGAAAAAACCAGTCTTTCAGGAAATGCAGCATCCCAGTATTATGTCAGGTTGTAGATGACTTAAGTACTGAACCAATCCCACAATAAAACCATGTCACATGAAGACTGCAGTTTAATTTGTTTGCTCATTGAGCTACCTTCTATTTACTCTGAGGCAGAGAGTAGCTTCATTTTTATGAGGGTGCAGAAGCAGAAAGGAGCAAGGTAACACCCTCAGATACTCACCTGAACCTCAAGCATGGCCAGATTTTCAATTTCCTGTGATCACACATGCTATCCCTTCCTCCTAATACTTGGAGCTGTACCAAGTGATAGCAAGTAACTTACCTAGACTTGTCCAAAAGGAGAGGAAGGTAAGTGGCAAAGGCAAAATGACTACAGAGCAAAATGAATGTACAAACAAGATTGAAATACTGTTTAAGTGTTTGAGGACAAACTGTAGGCATCTGGCCAAGAATGAATAACCTAGGTTGTTTCCATCTCATGTCTAGAGGCTGATATCTAAATAAAGCTTTATTTTCCTTTAGTTCTCATTTGAGAACCTCCTCCAGAAGCAAGATGATATCAAATGAACTTAGGGACATTCCTCAGATTAGATTTTTTTCACACAATCTTCATAAAAAAGTGGATCCATGCAAATTTCCCTATTTCCAGTACAAGATGTGTTATATGAAGAGACTTTGCTGTGGCCAAAAGTGGTACGAGTTTCTCCACAATCCACCTCCAGAACTAGAGGAAATATTACAGATTTTTAATCCCACAAATTTCAGTTTGGTAGATAAAAGCCACACGGGGTTAATCTAACAAGTATACAGCATACTTTGCCAGAACAATGTCACTGTCTGATTTCAGCTACTGTTAATTTTTAATGATCAATCTCCTGTTTATGCAGGCTTGCATACGAAACTCATCCAGTTAGCATCTGCAAAAAAGAACTGTACTAAAGATCCAACATTCATCAAAATCAAGACAGATTATCAAAAGCCCTACAAAATAATACACATAGTCCACCCTGACTGGTAATTACTTTTCCAGAGTCATGCATGAGCGTTAATTAGCAGCCGACGCACACCACTATTGTTTTGACATACGCCACACAGATCCTGTTCTTCCTCATTGCTTTGATTAAAAATCTGGCTTAGGGAGATGCCAAATTTTACGTTGTCCCTTTCAATAGCTGCCAGCAGCTCCTCCCAGGCCACCGGGCGAGGG